ATTTATCCAATGATTGCATACTTGCCACATGTTGTATTGTGTTACATTATTATGTCTCCCCCCCTAACCCCCCCTGGGAGCTGCGCCCCACCGCCGGACCAAAGTGGCCCCCCCCCTCCCGGGGCTCAGAAACCTACCAAAACTTATAGGAAATCTATGATTTCGACCTCTTGGGCCTCTTGGGGGGCCGAGAGGGCGCCAAGACGGTTCGAGATGGGCTCTGTGCGGGCCAAAGCGGCCCCGAAACAGTCCGAGATGGTTCCAAGAGGGCCCAAAAAACCCAAATGACGGCCCAAGAGGGCCCCAAGAGCGCCCACAACTGCGCCTCCAGAGGCCAAAATCATTGATTTTCCTATGGTTCGGGCACTATTTTAACGTTCTCGCCTTTGCGGCCCACGCAGGTTCGCAAATAGCTCCAGCACAACCCAAGAAGCCTCCAAGAGGGCCCCAATTCAGCCCAAACCCCAAAATGGCCCAAAGATGCCCCCAAGACGGTCCAAGAAACCCCTATGACGGCCCAAAAGGACCCATGACGGCCCCAAGGCGGCCGCGAGAGGCCCCCAGGACAGCCTCCGAAGGGGCAAAACGGGGCAAAGGCGCCCCGATATGACCAAAGTCGCCCCCAAGAGGCCCCAAGAGGCCCCCAAGAGGCCCCTAAAGGGCCCCAGAAAGCCCCCAAGAGGCCTCCAAGATGTTTTCAAGAAGCCCCCCAAAGGCTCCAAAGAAGCCCCCCAAAGGCCACACAGCGACTGGAGTGTAATGTTATTTCCCCCCTCTCTGGGCGAACTGCGGCGCAGCGCCAGCCAGGTGGAAGTTGGTCACAGCGGCGCCCATGATTAGAGCCGGCGCTGGAAGGAAATATGGGGAGAGAGTATGAAAAGGAGGGAGGGGGGAGAGGCCCCAAAGAAACCCCTTAGAGGCCCAAAGAAGCTCCTAGGAGGCCTCCAGGAGGCCCCCAAGAGGCTCCCAAGAGGCCCCGCGACGACGTGACTGTACGTGCTCCGGACGTGCACCCCGCGAAGCGAGAGGAATCCACGTCCGGAAGTGACGTGCGGAGCGGCAGCGTTTTCCGCGGATGCTGTAACGCAGTGAATCCAATGTGTCTAATGTTTGTATCATTCCCACAGACTGTATTGTGCTACAGTATTATGTATATCCCCCTATACCCCGCCCTGCAGTCGCGCCACACGAACGGACCAAGATGGCCCCCCCTTCCGGGGCCTTAAAACCGACAAAAACATATGAAAAATCAACAAGTTCGACCTCTTGGGCCTCTTGGGGCTCCAAGAGGGCCCCAAGACGGCCCAAGACGGCCCCAAGACGGCCCAAGATATTCCCAACGGGGGCCCATGAGGCCCCGAAAACGGCCCCAAACGCTCCAAGGACGGCCCGAAAGGGCCCAAACAGCGCGCACAACTGCGCCTCCAGAGGCCGAATTCATTGATTTCCCGGATGTTTTTGCAATATTTTAGCGTTCTCGTCTTTTTCGATTTTCACAAATCCTTGACGGCCCAAGCAGCTTCCAGAATCGCCCCAGAACAAACCAAAAAGCCCCCAAGAGGGCCCCAAGACGGCCCAGGAGGGCCCCAAAACGGCCCAACGAGGCCCCCAAGACGGTCCAAGAGGCCGCGAAGACGGCCCAAGAGGACCCCAAGAGGGCTCCAATGCGGCCGCGAGAGGCGCCCAGGACAGCCTCCGAGGGGGCGAAACGGTGCAAAAGCGCCAAGACGGCCGAGGACGCCCCAAAGAGGCCCCAAGAGGCCCCCAAGAAGCCTCCAAGAAACCCCCCAGAAGCCTCCAAAAGGCCCCCAAGAAGCCCCCCAAAGGCCACACAGCGACTGGAGTGTAATGTCATTTTCCCCCCTCCGGGCGAACTGCGGCGCAGCGCCAGCCAGGTGGAACTTGGTCACTGCGGCGCCCATGATTAGAGCCGGCGCTGGAAGGGAAGATGGGGAGGGCGTATGGAAAGAAGAAGGGAAAGGCCCCAAAGAAGCTCCCAGGAGGCCTCCAGGAGGCCCCCAAGAGGCTCCCAAGAGGCCCCGCGACGACGTGACTGTACGTGCTCCGGACGTGCACCCCGCGAAGCGAGAGGAATCCACGTCCGGAGGTGACGTGCTGAGCGGCAGCGTTTTCCGGCGAACGCCTTACTGCAACGTATCCAATGTATCCAATGATTGCATACTTGCCACATGTTGTATTGCGTTACATTATTATGTATCCCCCCTAACCCCCCTTGGGAGCTGCGCCACACCGCCGGACCAAAGTGCCCCCCCCCCTCCCGGTGCTCAGAAACCTACCAAAACTTATAGAAAATCTATGATTTCGACCTCTTGGGCCTCTTGGGGGCGAAGACGGCCCTAGAGGACCCCAAGAGGGCTCCAATGCGGCCGCGAGAGGCCCCCAGGACAGTCCCGAGGGGACGAAGCGGCGCAAAGGCGCCAAGACGGCCGAAGACGCCCCGAAGAGGCCCCAAGAGGCCCCCAAGAAGCCTCCAAGAAGCCCCCCAGAAGCCTCCAAAAGGCCCCCAAGAAGCCCCCCAAAGGCCACACAGCGACTAGAGTGTAATGTCATTTTCCCCCCTCTGGGCGAACTGCGGCGCAGCGCCAGCCAGGTGGAAGTTGGTCACTGCGGCGCCCATGATTAGAGCCGGCGCTGGAAGGGAAGATGGGGAGGGCGTATGAAAAGGAGGAGGGCAAGGCCCCAAAGAAGCTCCCAGGAGGCCTCCAGGAGGCCCCCAACAGGCTCCCAAGAGGCCCCGCGACGACGTGACTGTACGTGCTCCGGACGTGCACCCCGCGAAGCGAGAGGAATCAGGACGTCGCATGTCTGGGCAGGGCGGAGGGGGGGAAGACTTCTTGGAAGGAGGCTGCTGTGGAGAAGGCGCTGGCCTTGTCTACAGATGTAGGGCCAGCGCCTTCTAAGAGACTGCCTCCTTCTGAGAACCCGCCCTCCCCCATACTCCCCTCTGCGCGTGACCGACTCATCCCCCATCGCGTGACCTGGGCCCCGGCGGCCGACTCACCTCCAAGATGGGGATCTAGGCCGTGTCCTTCGGGTTTCGAAGGGCATCTCCCAGACTGGGGTGCTGAGATGGTGGGGGCTGGGGACGGGTCAGCGATACTGTCAAAAACCTTAACATGGGCGCGCGGTAAGGACGCAAGACCCTTGGAAGCCGAAGCTGGGATTTCTGGGGCGGCGGACGACGAAAACCTCAAGGACGCAAGAGCAAGGAAGAGCAAGCACGCAAGGGCACCCTGAGCAAAGTCGCGCGTCCTTATTAAGGTTTTTGACTGTACTGAGCCCTGGGGAGCTGCGCGCGCTCTTCGCACTGCTGCTGGGCGAACCCTCACGGGAGCCTCCGTGGGCCTCCGCGGCCCGCTCCCAGAGACACGATTTCGACCGGGCTTCGTCCAGGTTTCGACTCCCCCTCTTCACCCATTCGTCCAAACGTCGTCCACTTGTCATCCAGATGTCAACAAATCTGACGACATCCGGACGAAATCCCCCCAAACCGACGGGAATTGTGGGACCCGCTGAGGCTCCCATGGAGGACCGCACAAGAGGAAGGGGAGGGAGGGGACAGCGACGACGACGACGACGTACTGCGGATGCCCTATGTGGGGGGGTGCTGCTGCGCAGGCCCGCTGTAGTCGACGACGAAGACGACGACCCCGACGACGACGACGACGACGACGACGGCGGCGGCGGCGGCGGCGGCGACGACGACGACGACGACGACGACGCGACGACAACGACGACGACGACGCACTGCGGAGGCCATATGGGGGGGGGGCTGCGCAGGCCCGCTGTACTCGACTACAACGACAACGACGACGACGATGACGACGACGATGATGACGACGACGACGACGACGAGGACGACGACGACGGAGAAGACGACGACGACGACGACGACGACGACGACGACGACGACGACGACGACGACGACGACGACGACGGCGGCGGCGGCGGCGGCGGCGGCGGCGGCGGCGGGACGACGACGACGACGACGCCTCAGAGGGGTAAAAAAATTCGCCTCGGATGCGTACAACCCCTATAACAACTTCTATACGAAAGGCCCTCGTTTTGAGACTGTCAGCAGGGGGTAGATCAGCCCCTCGGCGGCGCCAGCGACGACCCCCCGGCGCGCGTGATTAAAAAAAGGTTTCGCGCCCCGCGGGGTCTATTCATCAGCCTGGGGGGGGGTAGCCATCTGTTAATCACAAGCTGACATTACCCTTGCCTCGTTTTCCTCTTTTTTGAACCTGCTGGGAGGCCCTCGTCGCCACGGCTGGATTCGCCTCGACATCATGGTCAGAACGCACCCCTGGGAGAGGTCTGGGGAGTAGCGGTATCGGTACATTTGTGTCCCGAAGTCCTCGCCCCACTCCCCGGACCTCCCAGGTAAGACGAAGCCAGGACAGAGATAAAATCGGGTGATGGTGCCTCGGGAACCTCTGACCCGAGGATGTCTCGTGCGCCGCGGCCTTCTCAGAGCGCTGCGGAACGCTCTGAGAGCGTTCCGGAACGCTCCGGAACGGATTGACCTTCGTCCTAGCCCCGTCCGACCCTTCCTCTGTGGGAACTGACAGGTACAAATGCTGCTGCTCCCCGGACCTCCCACGGTGCGCTCGGACCAGAATTTCGCTGCGAATGCAGCGCTGGCGACGGCCTCGGGGCCCACAAAGGCCAGACGGGTGCCAGGGTGGCGGCATCGGTACCGCGTCCTTCTCTGACCACCCGCTGATGGGCGTGTTTTCCACCACCACCACCATAAGTTGGAGTTGGGAGGGAGGAGGAGGAGGACGAGGAGGAGGAGGGCGAAGAAGAGGAGGAGGAGGAGGAGGAGGAGGAAGAGGAGGGCACCCTCCCCCTCCAACTTATGGTGGTGGTGGTGGAAAACAGGCCCATCAACCCGCCCCTCGTCCGACACGATGCCTCCCTCTCTGGGGGCGAGCGGGCGGGTCCGTGGCCGCCCCGCCCCGCCCCCCGCCGCCGACCTCCGCCCCGAGCGCGCCCAGCCTCTCCAGCGACCTCCGCAGGACGCCGCCGACGACCGATGCGGCCGAGCCCCTGGCCTCCGCCGCCGCCCACGAGTCCCGCACGCTGGCCTGCTCTGGGAGGCTCGAGGATTAGGGTCGAAGGGTCGAGGGGACGAAGGGACGAGGGGTCGAGGGATCGAGGGATGGAAGGAGCAACGCGCTCGCGAATCTCTGCTGTGCGCCGAAGGGCCTCGGGCCTCCAAGGGCTTCCACGTCCAGGGCCCCTGGACCTCAAGAAACGTCCAGCAGGGACCTGCGGAGGTTTCCCTCCTCCTCCTCCTCCTCCTCCTCCTCCTCCTCCTCCTCCTCCACCTGACCCACCTGACCCACTGACGGCAAGAATCTCGTCCGACGCAGCCATCCCCACCCCCAGGGCCGGTCGGCCCTGGGGGAGTTGATCAAAACTAGTGAGCCTGGCGGATTTCATCGCCGACTGGTAAGGCATGAGCAGCAGGTAGTACAACATCCTCCTCAGCCCCCCCCCATCCTCCTCCTCCTTCTTCTCCTCCTCCTCCTCCTCCTCCTCCTCCTCCTCCTCCTCCTCCTCCCTCCTCCCCTCTTCATCCTCCTGATCCTCCTCCTCCTCCTCCTCCTCCTCCTCCTCTCCTCCTCCTCCTCCTCCTCCCGTCCCCATCCTCCGCCTCCACCTCCGCCTCCGCCTCCGCCGCCTCCGCCTCCACCTCCTCCTCCTCCTCCTCCTCCTCCTCCTCCTCCTCATTCTCCCCTTACTCCCCCTCTTACTCCTGGTACGCGCACTCGGATAAGAGGAGCTGCGTACACAGGAGGAGGCGGGAGGGGGAGGGGCTGGTGGGTGACCAAGAGGATAAGCAGGAGGAGGAGAAGGAGGAGGAGGAGGAGGGAGAAGGAGGAGGAGGAGGAGGAGGAGGAAGAAGAGCAGCAGCAGGAGAAACTGGAGCGGAAGGAGTGGGAAGAGCAGGATGCCACTGCCGCCTGCTTTGGCGACGCAGCGCGCCCATTGTACACAGGCGCGGGACCCGTCGCTGATCCACGCGCCCGAATCCATGCCTACGTCTCCCCGAGAGGGAGCGAACGGCCGCGGGGGCAGCCCAACACACCCCTCTCTTTGCAAGCGCCGCACCGCCAGGGCCTTCCCCAGCGCGCTCGCGACGGCCTTGCTGACCTGGGAGGCCCCGTCCGCGGCCGCCGGCCCGGCCCCGCCCCTTCCCGCTCCGCCCGCCCCCTCCTGGCTCGCGGGGGACCACACCTCCAACGTGTTCTGTTGTTCTGATTTGCGGCGTCTGGGAGCACACCCCAGCACTAGCATCGGTCCCCCTCCTCTTCCTCCTTCTCCTCCTCATCCTCTTCATATTATTATATTCGTCTTCCTCCTCCTCCTCCTCCTCCTCCTCCTCCTCCTCCTCCTCCTCCTCCTCCTCCTCCTCCTCCTCCTCCTCTTATTATTATTATCATTATTATTATGAATAGTATTATTACTATTATTAGTATTACTACTTGCAGTACTATTATTATTATTCGTAATAGTATCAGTATTGCTATTCTTCGTAGGTTTGCTTATTGTGCTTAGTGTTATTCTTATTGTTCGTCGTCATCTTATTATTTGTTATATTATTATTCGTATTAGTATTCGCATTATTCGTAGTATTCTTATTCTGCTTATTATTGTTACTATTATTAGTATGCTTGTTACTCTTCTTCTTATGCGTATTAGTATGTTTCCTCTTCTTCTTCTTCTTCCTCCTCCTCCTCCTCCTCCTCCTCCTCCTCCTCCTCCTCCTCCTCCTCCTCCTCCTCCTAGGTGGCTCCCCAGCGTGGCCCCACCCCGCCCCCGCGCAGCCTTTTTGCCCACGGGGCGGCGCCGCGGGGCCCGCGCCATCGGGAGCCCCCAGGCCCACGGAGGGCCGCCGAGGCCAGAAGAGGCCTCCCTCGCCCGCCTGGCACAGACGCCTCAGACGGGCGCGAGGCCAGACCCGCAGATGGCTTCGAGCAGAGCAATACCGCCAGCTGCTCAACTCCCACCACGGCAGTATGACGCCGAAGCCGCAGGACGACTGGAGCAGGTACAAGCGGTGCCATTAGTGGTTGGTGGAATCAGCAGCTGCACGAGAATGCCTGCTGGTGCAGATGCGAATGCCGTATCGCCCGACCGAAAGGCTGGAAGCACACGGCTGCAGCATCGGACTACCGCGACAACTACGGCAAGGGCCAGTACGCAAGCTACCACAACACCAGCTACGACGCCAAGGCCCAGGGCGGCAAGCACGCCATCGGCCAGCAGCAGAAGCATAACGTGGAACAGCTCGCGACTGCCTTGAAGACGGTCACATCCACGCTCGGCTCCATGCAGATGGCGACCACGGACAAAGACGGGATCGTCGAGCAGCTGGAGGGGGCAGCCACAGCACTACAGAAGGCAGCGAGCTTCTCTTTGACACCGCCAGCGCCAACGAAGACCAAAGCACTACGATTGGCAGAGGCGACTAATTCCTTGGAGGAGCAATATGTAGAAGTGGGCGTTCGAGGCGAAGCAGCAGGCAGACGCGAAAGCGGCGAAAGCCAACGAAGTGCTGAAGGCAGAGCAGCTCATCGAGTCCATCCAGACAGAGGGCAAGGATAAGAACAAGAGCATCCTCGACGGGATCCTCGAGGCGGGCACAGACATCGTGCACCCGTCCGAGATCGAGTTCCCTGCACTTGAGGAGCACTTCAAATACGACGAGGATGTGGACGCCGAAGGGAGAGCAGCGGTCGACAACGCCCAGAAGCAAGTCTTGGAGGAGCTCACGAGGACGGCGCTCACGTTCAAGGGACAATTTGCGGAGCACTTGCAGAAGGCAAAGACACAAGCAGAGGAGAACCGCACCATCATCACGCAAGTGTTCAAGACACGAAAAGCGGACCCAGCGGAGAAGATCCCGGAGGCGAAGGCAGCAGGCCAAACGGCGGTGATACCAACGGCACCACAACCGAGGTCTACGGCCACGGCAAGCGACAGCGCGGAGGGAGCCAAGGACGCCAGCAAGAGCGAGGCCGAGGAGTACCTGGAGCGCCGCAGGTCAGCGGCCGTCGGAAAGGGCGAAGGTGCCCCTCCCGACGACCACTAGGAGCCACAGCGGAGGGGCAGGCGACCTGTTGGCGACACCGAGCCCCTGCACCGCACAATCGTTTCGCCAATATCACCACGTGGGGGCCCAAGGTCATGAGCTGGATGCGACGCGACGGACTTCGTGAAGGGTACGACGTCTGCGCGCTGCAGGAGACGCACATACCTTGGGCGCAGATCGACAACGCGGAGCGTGACTTGCAGAAGGCGGGCTTCGCGAGCACCTTCACCACGGCGCGGCGGAGCGAGAAGAGCACGACGGGCACCAGAGGTGGCACAGCTGTCATCACGAAAGGGCACCTGAAGGTGACATCGATCAAGCACCGCGCGAAGCCAGAGACCACCTCAAACTCGTGCAGCCACACGGCGCCAGGAGACCTGGACATGTGCGACTGGACTCCAGCCACGCTGCACCTGAAGGGGACGTCGCTGGTCATCATCTCCATCTACCTCGACCCGAAGAGCAGCACGCACCACGGCGCAAACGCACGCAAGTTGACGTCGCTGGCCTCTTTCCTGAACTCCCTCTCTATGCCATGGCTCGTATGCGGCGACTTCAACATGAAACGCCACGACTTCGACAGGACGGGTTGGCCGACAGCACTCGGGGCGACGAGCGCTATGGGCCCACCCGACGACCAGCTCACCTGCAACCTCGGCGACGCCAACTCAAACATCGACTACGCGCTGGCCAACGAAGGCGGCCAACGACTAGTACGAGGAATTCGACCGATGTACGACACGCCATGGAAATCACATGCAGGACTGGTCATCAATACCCGAACTTCAGCAGCAGCAAACTGGCAGACGATTACAACTACCTAGACCAGCCCCACGTCCACCCCGACCGAAACCAACACGCAGCAGCAAGGAGCGAGAAACAAGACAAAGACGAGCACGAGACACCGAGTCACCACATCCACAGCTAGCACCGCCCGTGTTCGCAGTGACATCAACGAGCATCGACACCGACAGTCAGACAGCACACCCATCCCAGAGCAGACCAGCTCCATGGACCAGACAGACCACGACCCCATCGATGGCATCCACGACTACCACCACATCGGCGGGAGCAGCCCGACCACCGACGTGGAGACGAGGCACGACACGGACGATCACATCTACCAGCAGGGGTACGACGCCTACATCGCCCAACGGGCAGAGGACGAGAACGAGCAGATCGGCGCGAACTGCACAGCCACAGTTGACCAACGCAGCTGTTCAAACAAGGACGCCGACGACACGCAGGAGGAAGCTCAGAGTGCGACCACACCCTCGCTGACGGAGCGGGCCCTGGCCAACGCTGTCGGGGTCAACACTAACGCGATGGACAACACATGGGTGGTCGCAAGCATGTTACAGCAGAAAGAAGACAACCACCACTCCCCCGACTATATCAAGAAGAATGCCGCCTACCGCACGGACCCCAGCGGCACAGAGCTTCTCGGACGGAAGTACCAACACTTCATCGGCACCCTGGAGAAGTTCTGCTGCATAGCGTACAGGATGGAGCGCACCGACAGAGCAGCCTTCTGCGGACGGGGATCACCATACCACCACGAGGAGCAGCAGCTCAAGGAACAAGGGGACCGCCGACACAGACTCGCATCACACAGAGCAGACTGATGGAACCGCATCGGCACAATACTGCAAGCACTAGTCAAGCTACGGGAGCGACAACACGGGCACCAGCAGCAAGGGGAGCTCGCTAACGCGGGCCGACGACTAGCACGGGAAGGCCTACCCCCAGCAGGTACGACGCCAACTGCGACAGCACGACTCCACAGGGACCTGTGGAAGGACCGTATGGAGCAGCTGGAGACCATCTCACTGGAGACACTGAAGGACGTGGCGGAGCAAGCAGAGCAGGAAGTTCGACACGCACTTCGGAAAGACATGAAGCACAGCAGGCAGCAGTATGGAGCGTGGCTCATGCAAGCAGGCAAGCACAGCGGCACACTCCAGAAGTCCATAAGATCACCAAACCACCGCCACGACGCGAAACCGAAATCCACACCGGCACCACGACACTGTGCAGCCCGAAAGACGTGACAGACCACAAGACCACTACATTCACCCACATCTGGAAATGCGACGCAACACCGCACGACGAGCACAAGGAGTACCTCACCGACCTCCGCGCCAAGGCCGCCGAGGAGGAAGAGTACGACCCCTGGACGCTCGACGACCTCGACGGGTGCATCAAGGGCGAACCCGACAAGGGCAAGGGCGTGGGCATGATCTGCATCAGCGGCATAAGACGCCTCTCTGAATCAGGACGCCAAGCACTGGTCGACCTATTCAACGAGTGCGAGCACCATCTCACCTGGCCGTGGCAGCTCCTCACGGCCATCGTTATGATCCTCCCTAAGCCCGCCAAAGGTGATCGAGCCTTTGCGCTACGACCACAACTGGTTCGCTGCTGGGAGCGTCTTCACCGTCAGCGCATACGGCGATGGGCGAGACACCACGAGCGGGAATGGAATGCAGTGATAGCGAGGGCCCTTCTGGAGCGCCCACATGCCGCGCGGGGGAATGACCCTCGCCGTCTAGGGAGCCCACAAAAGAACGTAAGCGCCCAACCACGTACATGAACATGGCCCCCCAATCCGCGAGACCGGCCGCTTGATACGAACGTTCGCGCAATGCCTACTCTCGAAACCAACGTGGATTAATGTACGTGTACTAGTACGTCTTTCAGTGGCTCCAATGAGGTCGCAGGATTGCACCGCATCGGTGATGTCGGCGAAGCATCGGTGACGTCGGCGTGGATAACATCGGGCTTCGCATCGAGCTGCATCGCCGATGCATCGCCGATGCATCGGCGATGCGCTGAGATCCTCCAACCCCTGCTGATCAGACCCCACCTGGGAGGCATAGACCCAGACCCCCGACGTCGTGATTGTTCCACAGCGTCGACACCCAGAGGTCTCGAGAGCTTCCCCGGGACTGGTTGCTCATCGCCTCGCATCGCCGGCGGCACGAGAGCTGTCTGAGGTATCACGGGGCGCCTTCACGCCTCGTGGCAAGCATCTGGACGCCTGCAGTTGAAAGCTGTGGCCGAACAAATGTCATCATGGTGAAAGCAGTTGAAAGCTGTGGCCGAACAATGGAAAGCAGTTGAAAGCTGGATGTCATCATGGTGAAATCCATGAGTTTACGCTGAGGCCGAGGGGCTCTGCAGCAGCACTCGGGATGCCGCGTGGCCGGCGCCCTCGGCCCCCGAGCGGCTCGCGGCCTGCATCGGTGGGGGAGGGCCTCGAGGCACCCACACCATCACTGAAAGAGTTGACCCTTGGGAGGCGCACTGGTTGCTCATCCCGAGTCGCTTTTTGGCGGTCCCGGGGCCCGGTAGAAGGGCCCCCCGAGGCCGAAAACAGCGAAAAACCTCCCGTCGTGACTTCTGTCGAAACGCGAGGGGGTCTGGGGAGAGTCTGGCTTTCGGGTGCGGGCCGTTCGGTCGCCCGACGCCCGCGACCCCAGCCTGTGGTCGTCGTCGTCGTCGTCGTCGTCGTCGTCGTCGTCGTCGTCGTCGTCGTCGTCGTCGTCGTCGTCGTCGTCGCTGCCCCTTCGGCCGCCCGACCCCCGCGACCGATGCCCTCGCGGCCGCACGGGCCCCGGGCGCCGCGGGCGCCTCCGCGGGCGGCCCGCCCGCGCGGGCCTCCGGCGCCGCGGGCGCCCCGGCGGGCGCCGCGCCCAGGCAGGCCTCGAGCGCCTGGCCAGGGTCGGCGGGGGAGGCTTCCGGGAGGTCTCGGGGAGGTCTCGGGGGAGGAGTGGCGGGGGAGGTCTCGGGGGAGGTCTCGGGGGAGGTCTCGGGGGAGGTCTCGGGGAGGTCTCGGGGAGGTCTCGGGGAGGTCCCGGGGAGGTTTCGGGGAGGTCTCGGGGAGGTCTCGGCCCGGGGAAGCGAGAGGCAACGATTGGGGGGGACTGGCATAGGGGGGGGGGGAGGCATCGACCCGGAATCGGGGCGCTACATCGCCGGTGGGTCGGCGATGGGCTCCCGAGAGGGAGTCCGCACCCTCCTGTGCAGGTTGGGGCTATCGAGCCCCCATCGGCGAAGGAGGAGGAGGAGGAGGAGGAGGAGGAGGAGGAAGTTTCGGGTCCGAGGCTTCGGGCTTCCGGGCGTGTTCGGAGGTCCCCGGCGGGCTTCCAGCCTCGGGGTGCCTTCCAGCGGCGGCGCCTCGCCGCGAGCGCTTCGGGGGGGGGGGCCAGGATCGTGCCGAGCGGCCGCGGGAGAGCCGAGCTGTGACCCAAAAAAACTGCGAGGCTCGAGGCGTGTGTCCATCGTTCTCCATATCTGGGGGCTGTTTTCGGGCCCTGGGAGGAGGAGGAGGAGGAGGAGGAGGAGGAGGAGAAGGAGGAGGAGGAGGAGGAGGAGGAGGAGGAGGAGGAGGAGGAGGAGGAGGAGGAGGAGGAGGAGGAGGAGGAGGAGGAGGAGGAGGAGGAGGGGAGGAGGAGGAGGAGGAGGGGAGGAGGAGGGAGGAGGAGGAGGAGGAGGAGGAGGAGGAGGAGGAGGGGAAGGAGGGGAAGGAGGGGGGGGGGAAGGGAAGAGGAGGAGGGGGAGGGGAGAGGAGGAGGAGGAGGAGGAGGAGAGGAGGAGGAGGAAGAGGAGGAGGAGGAGGGACCACCGAAGCTCGATCCGGGGTGCCATGCCGCGTCGGGTGGACCCGGGTGGACCCCGGGCAGGGTCTGGGAGCCGATCTTGACAGATATTCGGCGGCGCGACCAGGGGGGGGGGATGCAGGGGAGCCCAGAATCGAGTCGACAAGTCGGATCGGCGATCGAAATGAGTCGGATCGGCGGAAGTCGGCAGCCGAGTCGGGAAAAGTCGAATCGGCGGAGATCGGCAGACTAGTATGCGTCCAGTAAGGAATCGGAACCCAGATCGGAATCCCAGGTCGAATCGAATCGGAATCAGAAGCCATCGAAATCGAGTCGAGTCGAATCGAATCGGAGGACTCGAAATGAGCCCTGGGGGTGAGAATCTGGAAAGTGTTTTGCGTCTTCTGGGATGGCTTAGAGATCATTTTTTTATTCCGGCCGGTAACGCTCGTTACCCGGGGGGGGGGGGGGTCGTGCCCCCCGAGTAACGGTAACGCTTGGGCTGGGCGGGGTATGGCGAAGCAGGGGCGCTCTGCGATCGCCATAGTACGCGCGCGAGCAGCACTCTCTGCCTGAGAGCACCACAGTGGCTTGCGATTCGAGTACAAGCGCAAAGCCCGCCGCGTGGTCCCGGCACCACGCCCGCGCCCGCGCGCGCGACGACGATGATCGACGAGCGACGAGCGACGAGGTCGACGACGACGACGACGACGTTTGCCGCCTGTTTCGGCCTCCGGAGGCCGTTTTCGGGCGCCGTCGACGACGACGACGACGACGACGACGACGACGACGACGACGACGACGACGACGACGACGACGACGACGACGACGACGATTCGAGTACAAGCGCAAAGCCCGCAAGCACCAGCATCGCGCATGCGAGCGCCGCAATGGCCTGCGAGCGCCCACAGTGCGCCTGCGACCACCACACCACAGTGCGCATGCCTTCGGGCACCAGCATGTTGGAGGGGAAGACCGAGACCCCCCCCGCGTACGAGCGTTACCGTTACGGGGGGGGGGGGGGAGAGGCCCGGGTAACGAGCGTTACCCCCCAGAGGATAAAAAAACAATCTCTTAGAAGACTTCTCGGAATGTCAGAGCTCCCGAGCCTTCCCAGGAAGGCCCGCCACCTCAGCCGACAGAAGGCAGGATCCAGATCAGCACCGGGGGCCTCCCAGGTGGGGTCTAAGCAGATGGGGTCGGAGGATAGTGCTGCATCGCCGATGCATCGGCGATGCGTCGCCAATGCACTGGCGATGCACTGGCGATGCACTGGCGACGTGGGCGATGCATCGCCGAAGAGAACTGCGCCTGGCCAGAGGGCATGACAGGGGATATGTTCTGAAGGTGTACCGAACCAAACCGCCCAGAATTATGATCCCAAACGCAAAGACGGGGACCTCAGTGAGGCCACGTTTTCGCTGTTATTAGGGTCAGGGGTTCTTTCACTGTCGGTGAACTAAGAACTAAGGCCAGCATCGAATCGGGAAACCGAATCGAACTGGAATGTAAATCGAATCGGGCCGCATCGGCACGGAGTGGGGATCGGATCGGACCAGCCGCGCCAGAACGCACAGCAGCGCCATGCAAGCGTCAGGCCGAATCGGATCGAGCGAACACCTGAATCGAATCGGATCGAACCAGCCGGAATCGATATCGAATCTCATTGATCGGATCGACCCTGCCAGAGGGCAGGAAAACCCCCGCCTCCTCTTGGGTGTTGCCAGAGGCGTCCCAGGATTTCCAAGGAGGCCCCCCCACGGCATCCGGAGCACCTCTCTCGAGGCCCAGTGGGCCCCAGGGGCTCCAAAATGGGGCGAACAGCTCGGGACGCCGTGGGCCAGAGCCACATTTAGCAAATTTTTTGGATGCAGCGCCTCCGGGGAGCCCTCGCCGGGCCCCCGGGGTCGTCGAAAAACGGCTCGTGAATGGGAGCTGGCCCCGGGAAAGGGGGCCCAGAACTCTGTGGGCCCACGTCGTGGAAAGATCGCGGCCCTGGCCCAACCCGATGGGCAGTCGCCCCTGCAGGCGATACCCTCGACGTCGGCGTGGCGAAGCAACCCGCAGGAGGACTCAAAGGTTAGGTCGGGCATGTCCTCCTACAGGCAGAGCCCCAAGACTATCTTTGACAATTGTTTTGATACTCCTCCTGCAGACGCACCCGGACGGGCAGGGGGATAGCCCGGGGAGGCCGTCGCTTCGGAAGGGGGGCCCGCGGAGGCGGCAGCGGCTCTCCCGCCCAGCCCGAGTGCGCCCAGAAGGCCTTGACCCCTGTCGGGGTCCTCCTCCCTCCTCCCTCCTCCCTCATCCCTCCTCCCTCCTCCCCCCTCCCTCATCCCCTCTCCCTCATCCCCTCTCCATCCTCCCTCCTCCCCCCTCCCTCCTCCCCCCTCCCTCCTCCCTCCTCCCTCCATCCTGACTCGTCCCCGCGGAGCTTCTGACCCGGGTCAGTCCAGACCCGGGCCAGTCAGGCCCTGCAGAATCCTGCAAGATCCTGCACCCAGGCCCGGGCCGAGGCGCGAAGGGCCCTGCAGGATCCTGCAGGATGCCGCACCCAAGCCCGGGCCAATGCGACCCTGCCCCTGCAGGATCCTGCAAGGTCGGGCGCTCTGGCTGACCCCCGTTTGCATCGACCCCCGTCTCGAGGCTCCTCGACGTCCCTCGACGTGGGCCCGGCCGGGGCAACGCGAGGCCGCCAGGAGGCCCGAGCAGGACGAGACACGCCAGGGACGGCCGCCGTGGTCTCGCCAGGCTCCCCTCCGATGGCTCCCCTTGGTCTGGGCCGCGCCTCTCCCCGCGCCCCTCGCGGGCGGGGGGGGAGGGGGGGACGAGGATGACTGCGAGGAGGACAAGCAGGGAAGGCAGGGGGAGGAGGTCGGTCGGATCGGGCCTTGGGGCGGCCCTCGTGCCGTGGTGGGGGAGTGGCTCACGCCCCGTGGGCCAGGGGCAACGGAACTCGTCTCCCGCACGCCAACCCTTCAGTGCGAGGAGGGGTACCCCCAGCCATCAACCCGAGCTCGCCATGGGGCACCAGGCCCGCCCGGCACAGACCAGCAGGGGCGGCGGCGGACAGGCGTAAGCCTCTGAAGCGAAGCAAAAGACTGACAGCAAGAGGGAGGGGGAAAGCAGTAGCGGAGGAGGAAAATGCCGGATATCGAAGCAGCACTACGCCCAGCTCACCTTCAAAACACCATGTTTGGAAAGAGCTATGTATCAACCTCCGGCCAAGCTGACGTCACCATGCCTCCGGCCAAGTTAACGCCACCACACATCCTGACGGAAACTTGAAAGTGCTCCGCTATCTGTGACGATTGGTCCCACCGGGTGGGTCGAAACTGGGCACATGTGGCGCCGTGGGACTGGGACCGACCAAACCGTACGCATGGCCCAGCGGAGCGTTGTGCAACACCAGAACAAACAAAATGTCCTGGACGCCGTCGCGCGCGGATAGGCCGGGACAGTTACCTCCAGCCGGGTTGACGTCACCAAACCTCTGGCCAGGTCAACGCCACCACACCATAAGCAAGAGCAGCAAGAAACAACACCATTGGAAGAACGACATCGCGTTTGCAAGACGCAGATACCACGGACATTCGTGCCACGATCTCCGTGAAGGCAGTGCAGGAAATGCGAAAGAAACAGCAGAACGCCCAGCACGCCCGCCAACGCCGATTACACCATCAGAGATTTCACCAATGAGTGTCCAGGAACGTGCAGAAAGAAACACGCTCTGCAGCCCCAGCCCAAATACCACGGTGCAACCACACACACAAGGGTACATGAACGAGGCATTGAGGAGGAGAGGGGACGGTGAAGTAGTTGGTATGCGGCTCGGTGGCCTACCCGTATGGCGCCCACGGGAAGACGTGGGCGACCGCTTTTCCAACCCACTGAGCCGGCAACGACCGCGCCGTGACAGTCAGTGAAGACAGGATGACCACGTTGATGACAACATGAACGAGGCATTGAGGAGGAGAGGGGACGGTGTTGTAGTTTGTGTGCGGCTCGGTGGCCTACCCGTGTGGTGCCCACGGGAAGACGGGGGCGACCGCTTTTCCAACCCACTTAGCCGGCAACGACCGCGCCGTGAAGTCAGTGAAGATAGAGATGACC